TAATCCTCTTTATCTCTGTTAATACTTCTTGTCTTGAAGTCTATTTTGTCCGATGCTGCTATGATTACACCAGTTTTCTTTTTCTCTTGTTTTTAGTTTTTTTTTAATGAATTTTTCTATTTACTAAACTCACCACAGAATGATTCTTACAGCATCTCTAAAGGCAGCCCATGTTGTTCTAGCAGATTTTTTTAAGAGCCCTATAGGGCCATTATCCATGACCGTTTCTTTTTAAAATAGCTTTATGGAGGCATAATTGGCATTCAGTAAACTATATGCATTTTAAAATATACAAGTTGATAGGTGTAACATATGTATACACCACCACCATAGTCACGATAATAAGCTCATACATCTTTCTCAGATTTTTCCTGCACCCCTTTACAAGGTGTGTTCCTTCCTCCCCACCTGCATCCCGGGTGGCTGCTGACCTGCTTCTGGTCACCACAGAGGAGTTTACATTGTCTAGACTTTTTATAAATGGAGTCGTATAGTATGTACCCTTTGTCAGTTTGAGCAGATTTTAGAGGTCTGTCTTCAAGTTCACTGATTCTTTTATAGCATGAATCTTCTGTTAGTCCCATTCAACAAATTGTTCATTTCAGAGTTTGTACTTTTTCAGTTTTAGGATTTCAATTTAGTCCTTTTATATACCTCCTAAGATACATCATCTTGTCAACCATTGTATCCGTATTTTTACAGGTTCTTCAACATACTTATAGTAAATAGTTTGTCCATATCTGCTAATTCTAACATCTGATTCATCCATTAATCATCTAACAATGACTGTTTTTTCTTTTGGTTATGGATTTTTCTGCTTCTCAGGTCTAATAATTTTTAATGGGTACTGGTCAGGGTGGATGTAAAGTGTAGAGACTCTGGTTTCTGTTATTTTCTTTTTTTAAAGATTTTATTTATTTATTTTTAGAAAGGGAAGGGAAGGAGAAAGAGAGAGAGAAAGAAACATCAATGTGCAGTTGCTGGGGGCCGTGGCCTGAAACCCGGGCATGTGCCCTGACTGGGAATCGAACCTGCGATGCTTTGGTTTGCAGCCCGAGCTCAATTCACTGAGCTATGCCAGCCAGGGCTGGTTTCTGTTATTTTCTTCTGCAGAGTGTCCAGTGTGGTTCTGGTGAGCAATTAATTGGCAGAACACCTTGATTATGCAGAGGCTTGATTTAACACTTTATTAGGTCTGGTCTATTTGAGTTTTTGTCTTAGTCCCATGAGATATCAATGGAAAAACCAAACTGTTTGCTCAGCCGCCTCTCACTCTGAAGAACCTGAATTCTAAACTCTGTCTCCGCTGCTCGGCATTTCAGCCTTCCAGCAGGCGTTTTCCACTGGGCTCCTTGGAGTCTCACCTGTACATGCCAAGTTCAAAAATCCGCCAATGATTTGAGGGCAGCATGTATGTAGATTCGGGGCTCCCCATTCTGTGCCTCCTCTCCAGGATCTCCTCCCTCCACTTCCAGTTGCACTGGCAGCCCTGAGCTCTGACTGCTCCCTGAGGGTTCCTCATCCCAGCCAGACCGCAGCTTTCTGCGTGAGCGTGTTCCTCTTGTCCCGTGTGGAAGTGCTCACAAGGGCAAGGCCAGCTGAGCGGATCTCCCCTAGTCTCACTCTTTTCAAGGGTCCTATCTGCTTCAGTTTTTGCCTGATTTTGGTTGCTCTCCAAATAGTACCTTCAAACAGTTGTTTTTTTATATCTCATCCAGAGTTTATCACCATTATTGACTACAGAGTTAGTTCAATATAAATTACCCCACCATTACAGGAAGCAGAACTCCTCCGTTCTTTTATGGGCTCCAACTTGCTTCTCTCAAAAAAAAATTTTTAATGGCCTCCTGTTTGTGTTTCATGGATACTTACCTTTTCTTACTTCTCTGAGGGTATTAGTGATAGTGCTTTTTGTTTTTTAAGTTTTCTTCTCCATGAAGAGTCTGTTTTGTCCAATTTCTTTCTCTTGTCCTTTGCTTTGGTTGCTAACATGTGTATTAGAGGGTGTTTTCTGGGGACTTCCTGTTGTGTGATAGTACTCTGGAGTAGACTAACGTCAGGTTGAAAGGTCTGTGCTCGTGCTTGTGGGTGGAGCCTGTAGAGCACTTCATGGTGTGGTGATCGACGGGCTGTTTACGGGACACACAAGCGCCAGGATTTTTAGGTCTTTCCACCTGGGCTGCTTCAATTCCCCAGCAAAGATTCTTCCCATCTATTTCGGTCCGGTTAGGCTGCTGCAGCACAAAATTACCATAGACTGGGTAGCTTATAAACAACAGAAATTTATTTCTCACAGTTCTAGAGACTGCGAAGTCCAAGATCCGGGTGCCAGCACGGCTGGGTTCCCGTGAAGACCCTCTTCCAGGTCACAGACCGCTGACTTCTTGCTGTGACCTCTCTGAGGCCTCTTTTACAAGAGTGAGCATCGCATTCATGAGGGCTCTGCCCTCATCACCTGCGCTCCTCCCAAAGGCCCCACATCCTGATATTCATCACATGGGTGTTAGGACGTCAGCATGCGAATCTAGCGGGACACACACACACACACACACACACACACACACACATTCAGACCACTGCACCACCTCTTCCCCAGAGGGTGAAGGTTTGGCTGTCTACATCCTGGGAGCTCAGCGGGGAGAAGGCGGGAGGTCTCTCACAGTCCGGTACATCTGCTCTTGCGACCCCTCAGTTTGGGAATTGGTCACCTGCCCTCAACTGCGCTTGGCTTTCCGGTGTCCCCTGGACTTGAGGACTTCTGCTCAGTCCTCTTCAGAGAATAAACATCCAAACCTGTGGCAGGTCGGCAGTTGCCTGGGGATATGCAGTCGGGAGAGCTTCTAGGGGTCTAGCCGCTTCTCAGACAGCCTTCACGTAACCTCCTCTGCCTCAGTTTCCCTTGCCCACTTCCAGAGTTACCTGGTGTCTGTTCCTGAGCCTTTGAGCATTTTTTGGACAAAGTAGGTTCTCGGCTTTCCACTCTGCTGGCTTTGGCCTGGCCTTCTTGTCTGGTCTGCTATCACTCATTTATCTGTTTTCCACCCTCCAAAATCTGCTGGTGGTTTCTCCTGTGGGCATCAGAAGGGAGGGGAATTAGCTGAGAAGGCAGCAGCTGGAAGCCCCGAAGAGGGCTGCTTTCGTTGCGCTGGTGGGTTAGAGTGCAGAATCTTCAAGTCCACGGGCTCCAAGTACTTGTGAGTAGTCAAACCCATGGGGACAATTTTGTAAGAAGCAAAGTGAGTGCTCATGAATCAGGGTTAATATAGACAAAAGCAGCAAATGTAGATTAATGCATCTGAGAATTGATCAACAAAACAGGAAATGATTTGTAGTTCATCATCTAGGAGCGAGACTGGAGAATCTGTGTAGAGTTTTTCCTGGGGCCTCAGCCAGTGCTTCCATTCTGGGGGCTCAGGGCCTGGGTCCCTGCGTGTGGCTCTCATTCTTGCTTCAAGAAGTGCAGTGCGGTGGGGGAACTGCGCAGCAAGCGGTGCAGGGAGTGTAGGGATAGCTGTATAAGGGCAAGTGCTGAGCACCGGGGTTCTTCAGCCTGGAACGCAGAGAGCTGACATATCTCAGCGTAAAGCCCTGGCCACTGTAGAGAAGGCAGGTGTGAACCTGGGTGCCAGAGACATAGCTTCTCTGGTGAGGGCACTGCTTTCCGAACTGGAGCAGGTGAGCTTAGTGGAAACAGATGAAAGCACCATTTACTGTGGCAGGCCGGACACTTGGGGAACTACTACAAGTGGCTCTTCTGGCAGTCGGCTTAATTCCACTGGGGTTTGGACAAATGAATGAATGACAGAAGTCTACCTCTTTCCCCCCAGCCAACCCCCCCAAACAAAAAGAGAGGAGTGAGGCTTCTGAGACATAGTGACACATATATAACCCTTAATTTAAACCCTGAGGAGGACAGTGTGCTAGATGGAGAATGGTCAGTTTGGTGTAGTAGGAAAAACTTGGCCTGACTCAAAAAGATCTGGGTTCAAATCCCGACTCCTCAGTTTACTCACTGTGTGACTTTGAGCAAGTTCCTGACCTTTCTCACCCAGATAAGGTTCTGGTGCAAAGTTAAGTAAGTCCGTTACCCAATCTACAGGAGGATCAGTACAGCAAAAGTTAGCCTAAGGCCCAAATGGAAGTATCTGCGTTTTTCTTGAACACGTACTTGCTGAGCCCCACCAGTTACCAGGCTGCGTACCCATATCTCCCCTGTTCCAGAAAGGCTCATGAAGTGAAGGCACAGTTCTGCTCCACCCTGCCAACCTTCCTCAGGATGGCGGGAGGCTGTGAAGGAGGGCGCCCCCGTGTCCTCTCCTGGTGGCAGGCAGCGTGTGTGATAGGAGAGTATCTGAGGGCTAGCTTGGCGGGATCACCCGAGCCCATCTCAGCAAACAACCCCCGTGTCCCTCCCAGACACTTTCCTACTAACCAAACCGAAGGTTTCGCAACCCACTGATAATACCAGACGGTGATGGTATGGTTTTCAGCCACTTCCACTTTCCATTTACTCATTTCTTCCGAGAGGCTGTTGGCGCCCAGCTCTGGGACAGGAGAGTTAAGGTCTTCGGGGGAAGTGGAGAAGGCGAGGGTGAGGGACACTGTGGTGCCGTGGGTGTCTGAGGTTCATTCCCCTCCTACAGAGAATCATGCCCCAGCATCTGAGTGCCCACATCACTATGATTAATTATCGTCATCTCGGTTGCAGAGTGCTGTGGCTTCAGTCCGGCGAGCACATAGGCACTTGCCAGTGATGACTGACTCCGCCCGTCCACAACCCCGCTTTAAGGCACTTCACTGTTATTCCCGTATGTTCTTGGCCTCAATGAAAGTTTCCTTTGGTCCAGACTTAACCCACACCTCGAGCCGTTGAGTTCCTGCCCAACCTTCTTTCCTCGGAGGTCGTGATGTTGGTGGGAGGGCTGGTCCCATCCCTCCTCTCACTTGGCCTCCACCTTCAGGCCTCGTTTAACTTTGACCCCTTTTCTTTCCTTTTCCAGAACTCACATGCTGCGTGTCGGACTGAGCTATCCCTGTTTCATCCTGTAATGCAAGACTTGCTACACCGTCCTGCTGACGTTCACGGCCGTGCCTGGGAAGGAGGCAGCCCCATTCCCAGTCCATTTCAGCGGGAGCCCTCCCCGTGCAGCCCCTGGAGACTCGGTGGGGCAGGGGAAGAAGCTGTAGGAGTGCACGTCCCAAAAGCCGAGTCTCCATGTGTGAATCAGTGTCACCTCGCTTTGCTCTCAGAGACCTCGCTGCCCCAGCCAGACCTGCCTGCGAATGAAGGGGAGGAGGGAGCCACTGGTCTCCTCCCTGCTCCGCACCTGCACCCCGGGCACAGCGGCTCCTGGGGCAGCGGGGCGGCTGAGAGCTCAGAGCCCCTGCTGCCCTGCATGCGCCAGCTCAGCTCTGTCGTAAGCTGTGTGACTGTGTACAGGAGGGGCGTGGCCTCTTTCTGAATGGGTTTTTCTTAACACATGTGCCAGAGTTTATGCCGTTCACAGTGTTGCCCCTCTCCTTGCTGTTACTGTCACTGACTTTTCCTCATTAGGCTTCATAGTTATTTTTTTTAAATGGGAAAATGTCCTTCTTTACTCCCTGCATTGTATATTCAGCCCACCTTCCCTACCCCTCCAAGGTCCAGAATTACCTGAGGTTCTGAAAAAGATAAGAAAGCCGTCTTTGCTAAGCCTGTGAGCTCTTCCTATCGTCTGTATTTTGTCCTTGAAGAGAGTTGGTGTCTGCTCGGTTCTGCCTGGTCCCAGACAGCTCTCTCTGGAGCAGGTGTTGGAACTGAGCTGGCATGTGTATCACTGTGACAAACCACCTGGGCACTGTCCTGTTCCCTTACAGCCGGACCGGCCAGGCTGGTCCTGCAGCAAGTGACAGACCACCGGGTTTGTTTTAAGCAGATGGAATCTGTGCGGCCAAGGAAGGTGAAGTAGAGAGCTGTGTTTGCAGGTGAGTCTGGGAATGGGCCACCGTGAGCCCCCACACGCCCAGCCCAAACGTTCCTGTGAGCACATGTGCCCAGGCCCCGGGACAGCTGTCTGCACCCCAGTTTCTCCTGGCTTGGGCTCTTCCTGTCTGCTCTCAGCTCCAGCCCTTCATGGTGTCACAGGCTGCTGCTCTGCGGCTCTCTGCACGCAGCTGCAGGACGGGCACTGAGTGCCCCATTGGCAACCCTGAGCAGGTGTGAGTCTGGCTACTCCCCAGCCCTCCGTTTGCAGGGACAGGCTGCAGGGCACCGAGTCACAGCGCCATGACAGACAACTGGAGAGTGGCCTCCCAGCTGCCCCTGGGGTCTGCAGCTGGGAGGCAGCTGAATGGCTGATAGTAGGTACCCCAAACAGCCAGGTGGGTACAGGATAGAGTGGCTACCATGGAGTATTGACCCCCTCTCCTCGCAGTCCCCAGGAGAGTGGGGTATCACTAAAATGACAACGGCACTCTCAACATCCGGATCCTCAGAGCTGGGTTCAGCTCAGCAAAGAGCAAGTGATGTGCGCGTGCTGACGACAATGCTTGGAGCCTGAGCCGCCTTTTCCTTTTCTGGCTTTGCAGTCACGGTGGCTTCTCTTCTGAGGAGGAGTTGGTTCTTATCTCAGGCTTTTGCGGGGGTGACCTGGGGACATTCTTACCACTGCCAATTCTTGGAGCTATTCCGGGTCTTGGCTTGGGACCCCGAGGGTGGGCCTGTGTCAGAGGCGCTCAGTGAGCTATGTGGAGGTGGCAGGCATTGTCCTCAGGGCTCTTCAAGAGAAGCCCCTTTGGAAAAGAGCCAGGCAGAGTGGGCAGCTGGCTCTCCTCATGACGCGCCACATGGTGTGTTCTGGAAAGAGAGCTCTCTGCATCCTTGCCCTGGGTTGGTTGTCACATACGGACGATGCACTGTCCCTTGCCCTTTCGCTTTCCTCCCTTAACCCACGTGAAATATGACTGTTGTTCGAGAAACAGTGAGCTGCCCGTGGCTGCCGCCAGCTTCATCCCTCTGCCTGTTGGAGAGGCCCTCCTCAGCAGGCCCAGGAGATCTGGAGGCAGGGGCTGGGCCAGGTCAGAAGGACGAGCAGGGAGGCCCACCCCAGATCCAGGTCACCTTTAGCTTTGGGACATACGCAGCTAGTTCTGAGCCATGTGTACCAAGGAAGCTCTTCCTCCGCCTGGTAGCAGGAGCTGCTGGCTCTGCAGCCCCACCCTCCTACGAAGAGGATGCTGACTAAGACTCACACTCTCACTTCACCTCTGGGAAGCCCCTCGGCCTCCTGAGTGAGCCCTCCAGGAACTGAGGGGGGTGGGCGCCAGGTAGCCGCCAGCGTTGGCCGCCGCCGTGCTGGCACTTGGTGCTGGGAGGGTTTCCTAGCCACCCACTTTCTGGGGCCACGGTGTCACCACTGAGTGTGTTGGTGGGACATCCCTATAGTGCAGTGAGCTTGTGGGGTGGACATACAGAGTGTCTGCAGGACCCATAGCAGACATGCACAGTGGGTGCTGTGCTGAACCTGATCTCTGCTCCCTTGGGTGACATCCCACAGGCTCTGCAAGTCATCCTTCCTCTCCTTCTCCATAACCCCCCCCGCCCCCGATTTCCTAGAGGGGCGCCAAAGAGGACGGCACCAGGCGGGTATCTCAGCAGGCCTCTCACAAGTCCACCTTGCCCAGGCCCAGGTCCTGTGGCAGCGTCCCACCAGAAAGACAGAGGCCACTCTAAGTACTTAAAACAAGGGGATTTGAATCCAGGTCATTGTTTAGCACAGACACAGGAGAAGCTGAGGCCAAACGGGAGCGAGGAGCGACCCAGAAATGAGTTGGAAGGCTGGTGGGACACAGGGGGGAGGCCGTGTTACTACAGCCTGGGGTGCGGGGACACTGGGAGGAAGCTGAGGCCACAGAGGGCCTGTCTGATGGGAGCTGTGGCCACAAGTCATGGACCCCAGGCAGAGTCAGGGAGAAATGGCCTGGCTTCTCCCTAGCTTGTGCCTTCCAGATATCTGCAGGTGCCTCTTGTTAGCTACACCCAGCTGGGAGCCAGCTGACCTAGGGGCCTGGGACAGATAACCCGCAGCGGTCAGCTCGCCACCACTCAGCAGAGTGGGGGAGGGCGAGGAGCGGGTCGGGGGTAAGCAGGCGAGGACGCGTGGGGCCTTGGTCTCTTCTGTGTCACGTCCGAGCCTGGTGTTCATGCCCCATGCTGTCCTAAGCTCCCAGTGAAAGGAGGCGGAGGAGCTGCCCACTGGGTGTTTGCAGGTTCTTTGTCTTTCTACCTGGAGAGAAAAGTGCTTTGGGGAGGGAGGGAGGAAATCTTTACCCCTGACAGTCATCCCTGTTTTCCTTTGGGGGAATTCACCCATTTAGCAACCCCAGCTCACCATGCCCCTCAGGAAAGCTGCACCTCAGTTATCTGCGCCCCCCCATAGCTCTCCCCCAATCTCCGCTTACCCCTGCCAGAGTACAGGGACCTAGACCACGCCTCAGTGGTCGTGAGTGTCTCCCCAGAATAGTTCAGTCAGAGAATATTACAGTGTGACCATCTGTCTGTAAGTAGATGCCATCTACTAATCAACTTGTGTCGTATTTCCAATAAATTTCTGGAAGTTATGCCTCGTTTTATGCTGTCCTTTGGCAGGACAGGGGCTCAGCTGTCAGGCTGGGTGCACTCTCCCCTCCCCCACAGCCCTCGGCGTCAGGGGCCCCTGGTCCCAGGTGCTGCATCCCCCCACATAGCTTCCCCCAGGACTTGCGTTTTCTTCCACTGTCTGATAAGCCAAGTAGAGGTTTGTGAGGCCAGGTCACTGCTACAGGTGGCCTGTGCCCCTGTGTCCCCCAAGCCTGGAGGTGTGAGGAGCAGCAGGCAGCTGTTGCCCACCAACCACCTGTCACTGCTCCTCCACCCAGTGCCAGTGGTGGGGGAATGCGGGCCACCCGGGTGGTGAGCTGAGCGGCGGGGGGGGAGGGGGGGACGGGGGGGGGTGCCTGTACAAGGGGAGGACTCCTGCGCAGATGAAGCAGGCAGAGGGCCTGCACACCCCACAGATGGAGGCCCAGCACCCCCTTCTCACACTGTCCTCCTCTGGCCTGAAAGTCAGAAATAATGTCTGCGTTGACTCAAAAGGTTAGGGGAGCCCACTCCAAATGCCTGGCAGTCTCCCTCTCTTTCCCCGGCCCTGGGTGCCGAAGCCCGCCTGGTAGACGTCATGCTCCACTGCGTATTTTGTTGGTTCCGACCTGTCTGACTGCAGTGTGGACTCTGCCTCGGTTGCTGTGCTGGGACCATTGCAGGCTCACTTGGGCCTCCTCCAGCCTGTGTTTGTGACTGTCATTTGCTGGCATTTGTGAGAGATGGAGAGAGAGTCAGTCCAAGTTCCTTTCAAGAGATTCGCTGGAGAAGCAAGACATACCCATGTGAGGTTACTGGGGAACAGAGAAGGTTGTACCTGAGGTTGTGTGGGTACCTGGCTGAGTCCAGGATGGAGGGCTCAGTAGGGCTGGCCTGGTGGTCAGGGAAGGATTTGTGGAAGCAGAGGTAGAACACAGAAGCCCCACCTCCATGAAATCCCTAAGGTGCCCGTGCTTCTTGGTGTCTTTCTATTAAGACTTTCTATCCTGACTCAGATTTCCTTCTTTCTGGAGGCCGATCTGTAGAGCTCGGAGTGCCCTATGCCCTGCCTCCCAAGGTGTATCAGTGTTAAGTTCCATGGCCGAGACTGGGGGTTTAGGATCAGACTTGCTCAGGAGGTTTGCTCTGCATCAGCCTTCCCTTCCCTTTGTTCTGATCTTGCTCCCGAACTGCAGGGGGTCGCTGGAGGAACCCATACCTCCTGCAGGGACTGTTGCTACCCCAGCGCTGTGGGTGCCTGACTCACCAGGTACCTGGACTGCTTGCTTAGTGGCCCTTGTATATGTTCTTCAGGCACCTGTTTTCTTGTGCTCAGAACCGGCCATCCCAGTCCTTTGTCATCCCTAAGCCCCCCCCTGCTGAGAGCCCAGCCTTCTAAGCATCCCTTTACCTGTCTCCCCCTCCGTCCCAAGGCTGGCTGCATGTAATAGTGCCTTTCCAGCCACCCAAGGAGGTGCTCCTGGCACCCATGTGCTGAATCGATTCCTCCTTGATCTCCTGTAGGGCCTTGCAGGAGAATGTCCTGACTCGGACCAGACTGCCATTTACTGGCTGTGTCACCTCGTGCAAGTTACCCTACCTCTACGAGCCTCGGTTTTTTCATCTGTAGGATGGGATGGTAGTGTCTACCTCATAGGACTAAATAAATTGTAAAGTGGCTTAGAACAGGGACTGGGACAGAGTATTTACTATTGTTCTGTCATCATATTCTCCCCTCGCCCCTCATTGTCATCTTGTCTCCCTTCCACCACTGCATTTAAACTTCTCTATCCCATCAACAAAACAGCAGAGCAGTCAGACCCCCCCGGGTCTGTCTTCTGCTTAGCGTCACCTGATGCCATTGCCTTGCCTCCCTCTGCTGGCACATTTGTTGGAAGAGGGAAGCGTTGTCTCCATTGCTTCAAATCTCGTTAATTTCTCAACCTACAGAGTACTTTGTGGCTCCCATTCCTCCCCTACTCCCAGCTGCTCACTGAAATTGCTGTGGATACAGGCACCGGTGACCTCCTGCTGGCCAAATCCAATGTTATTTTTAGTCATTGCACTTGAGCTTTCTTGAGCATCTGAAGCTGTTG